GATTCGTTTGCATTCGTTATGTCTGTAATTCGGAATTCGGATACATCCGAATGTCCGAATTTACGAAAATTCGTCCGAATTTCGATTCGGAACGAAACGAATCGCACATGTCTAGCGGATACGTCATTCAAAACTATGCTGGAGGAGGCTTGGTGAGAGTACGAGTCATTTAATAATGCTCACAAAGACAATCCTAATCTATACTGGGAAACCGCAAAGGTAGTGCTACGGGGGAAAATAATGGCGTACGTTGCTGCCAGAAAGAGGAAAGCCAGAGCCCAATTTCTTAAAGCTAGTTCGTCTCTTCGCCTAGCTCAGATACAATATGCATTAACTGGATCTGCAGAACATAGGGAAATGTGGACCAAAGCAAAGCTGGACTTTGAATGGTGTAACACACAACAAAACCTATATTATCTTACGCACACTAAATTAAAATTCCACAAATTTGGAAATAAATCTGGAAAAATGATGGCAAACTTGGTCAGACAACGCACTTGTTGCACATAACATCTATATGGTCAGAAGGGGGGAATACCACCTCTGACCCGAAACACAATCAAATATTCGAACAATTTTATAGCCAATTGTACTCGGCGACACACCTTAACAAGGACATAGGCAATCTCTTTTTGAAGTCGGTGTCGATGCCCAAAATCCACAGCGAAGAACTGTCTCATCTCAATGAGGACATTTCCTTGGAAGAAATTCAGAGGGCTCTGAAATCCTCCTCCAATGGTAAATCTCCAGGCCCGGATGGGTACTCGAATGAATTCTATAAAATGCTCCAGGAGGATGTGTCCCCTATATTGCTCAGGGTTTTTAATAACATGTGGAAGGGAGGTGAATATCTAAAGACAGGCTCGGAATCATATACTAGATTACTGCTCAAAAAAGACAGGGACCCGACTCTTTCAGGCTCTTATAGGCCTATATGACTGATTAACGCAGATGCAAAGCTGATGTCGAAAATCATAGCGGATAGATTGGCGAGGCTTTTACCACGCGTAATATCCCCAGCCCAAGTAGGATTCATTAAAGGCAGGTCAGCGGTAGCCAATGTACGCAAATTACTAGCAGTCCTAGGGTATGCTAAAGGTCATCCGACTACATCTTTAGCCCTTATTTCAATAGACGTCGATAGCATTCAATTCTCTTGGCTATATAGAGTGCTAGATGAGATGGGGTTGTCAGGTAGGTTCACTACTTTCTTGGCAGCAATGTACGCCTCCCCATGTGCACGCATTTGTACACCTGGGAACATTTCCAACTGCTTTCCCTTACTAAGGGGAACCAGACAGGGCTGTCCGCTGTCTCCGTTGCTGTTCAACCTGGCATTGGAACCGTTGTCATTGTACTTTAAGGGCGCTCCAGACATCCACGGAATCCCCTTCCAAAAATTGCAAATTAAAATAATGCTGTTTGCCTACGACATTGTATTATTCTCCAATTATCCGTCCAATGACATACACTTTATTCAAGCCACGTTCCAAAACATACCAAAAATGTTCTGGCCTAACCATAAACTCCAAATCCAAATCAACCATACTACCGTTGACCTCTCGAGCGTCGACCACGTTAGGTCACTCTCCTATTTTCAACATTGCCAAGGGATCCATTGTATACCTTGGCCTACACTTAGGCACCACTCCATCCTCACTTTATACTCTCAATTATCCCCCTCTCTTTGACAAAATCAGAAAGGAGCTGGTGGCATGGTGGGACCTCCCCCTCTCGCTCTTCGGCAGAATACACCTAATCAAAATGGTATCCTTTGCCAGGTTACTTTACCCGTTGCAAACGCTACCTCTTCTCCTGAAGCATAAGGATGTCACATCCCTTAACAAAAATCTCTCCGCCTTTATTTGGCAAGGGAAAAGGGCAAGGATCGCCTTACGAAAATTATTTCTGCCGAGGTGCGAGGGGGGTATGGCCTTCCCCAATACCAGATTATATAACCTAAGTTTTCTCCTCAGACATTCAGCGGACTGGATAGGCTCATCATCCTATTATTCTAACTTCCAACTGGAGTCTGACTGACTCAAATATGGTGAAATGGCAGAAAGATATTCCCACAGATCAGATAGTTGAAAAACTGTTACAAGGTTATCGCACTACCTGTAAAGCAATGCTCAATGAGCAGTGGAGAGAAACGCAATACAAAATTATGCATAGAGCATATTATGTTTTCCAAATAAAACGCAAACAGGGCTCGGCCAAGGATTACTTGGACCACTGCCCCAATGCAAGCTAAAAGCGGCCTCTCTCTTCCACTGTTTATGGGAATGCCCAGTGATACAGACATTCTGGACCAAGGTAGTGGACTTCATTACATTGGTAGTGGGACGCCAGATTCCAATGGACGTTCTCTTGATCCTGTTCAATTTCTGGGATAACCCTGCAGACTTTACTAGACACCATAGACATTGGATCAGCATTGCCCTGCTGGCAGCCAGGAGAGGCATACTGAGAGAGTGGCTGGCCCCCAACCCCCCTACGGTTCAGGGCTTGCGTACAGACTTCCTTAACTTACTCCATTTAGAGAAACTGGACGCAGAAATACAACTGACAGATGATAAGAAAACAGCTTTCTTCTATGACAGGTGGCTACCATATATTAATATAGTCTTCACGCAAGAGGAAAAAGATACATTTCTATCTCCATTCAAATATACCTCCAGTGCTATATTTGCACAGCTAAACGGTTCGAAGGATGTGGTTGCCATAAGACCTATCTTCACCAAAGCTGAAGTCATAAAATGTCAATATCATGCTACTCCCAACCCAAGCATTCTAAAGGCTGGATACATACTCCAAGGGCTCTAGGGGCACTGGGGTGATCTGAGAGGGAAGGTTCTCAGCTCAAGACTGATTGATAAACGAGAGCATTAGTCTAGCCATTCACAGCCTCTGACCAGGGCAGAATGGGGTCTGAGTGGTGTTTACCCAAGAAGTTATGCTAGAAAAGATCAGAACAGATCGCTCTTTCTCTGACATGGATTGTCTCCCTCAACCAGATGGGGTAAGACAGAGGGGATACGAATTGGAGGATAAGGATAAGGAGAAGCCGTAGTCTAACGCATGTACCTAGTCATATTAGTGGGGGGGAAAAAAAACAATACGCTCTGCATGCATGTCATTGATTGTGGTGTTATGTGATTGTAAGAAGTTAACTGCCTGTAATTGTCTTATTGTGCCAAAGAATGTGTACAAATGACTGTTAATATATTTAATTGAAAATAAAAGGAAAAATGTTTTGAAAAAAAAAGAAAGCAATGTTGTCATGGTTTACTCACCTGGCATTTTATCCAGATAAGCCTTTCCATGTAAGTCATTTTTTAGTGCTTTAATCGTTGAACTTAGAAGCAATTGTGCTACATTAAAACAGCATTCTGATGTTTATCTATTGATGATCCTCTGGGAAAAATTCAGCAACTATTTTATTACTTACTATGTGAAAGAACACCATGTATGCCTTGTCCCGTGTTACCCAATATTGTGGTTTCCCCAGTCAATGTAAGATGTAAGCAGATTTAATTTATAGGATGTTCATTTTGAATATTTTGATACTCTTAGGGGCTCCCTGTCTTCTTTCTATTTTCCAGTGTCCATACTCCTTTCTGTTACTGATCTGAGCTGTCCATGAACATTTCATCTGGTGATTATATTCCCAGCATTGGATTCATAAGGTGGCCACACACCTTACGATAATCGTACGATAACCGCGGGAAATCCCGCGATCGTGCGATTATCGTAAGGTGTGTGGGAGCCGTGCAACCTCTGCTACAGTAAGGTTGCATGACTTTTATCTTAGGAACATGTTCGAAAACCCACCGAGAATCGTCCGATTTTCGGCGGGTGTGTAGCATGTTCGTAAGATAAAAGCCGGACGGGACGGTGTGCGCAAGCGCACACTGCCCGTTCGGCATTGCGATCATTGGAAGTCTGCCCCTCAGCTGGGCGGGCTTGCGATCATCGCAATTACGATCTGCCTGTCCAAGATAGGCAGATCGTACGTTTTTTTTATTACCTTACAACCATCGTAAGACAAAAGTCTTGCGATGGTTGTAAGTTGTGTGCCCAGTCTTATGCTATCTGGCTTTCCTGTGTGGACTATGAGGGGTAAAGTGGCACTAAGCACAAAAGATCTCTGTTGGATTTGCACAGTTTGCACAAGTATCGGATATTCTTTGAATTTACACAGTCTGAATTAATTATTGAAATTAGAAGAAACACTTGCACAAGGTGACTTTGGACTTTTAGATATTTTCAATAGATTTATCTTGAATGCACATTATTTGTTTTATAATAAATAGCTGAATATAAGTATGACTTTTTTGCACACATGAAATGAGCATTGTATAGAAATTTTGTTTTTCACAGTTATTGTTTTATTGATTGATGAGTGAATGCACATACAGTTTGGGGATTCGTATATAT